CTCTATTTGTCTGTGTAATCCCGATTGGGGATTTTTATTAAAATCTTAGTATGGTACGAAAATACAGTTAGAATTAAGAGCAGTGAATTTTTTCCTTATCAGTGTAGTATGTTTGCACGACGCCTTAAACAAAGAGGTCACACACAACTTTACCTATACATTTGCAATGAATGATTGCCGGATTAGCGCGATTTTACTATATATATAGAATTCTGCAGATCTAAGTATCAAACTGTTCCAAATATCAGAGAATTAAGCCAACTGCTTATAATGCAATTTTCTACTGTGATTTCCAAAATTTTACTTTCCGACACGAAAAATTTACGAAGCAAATTTGTGCTTGTAGCGTAGTTAAACATTGATTTGTAGATGCCTGTAAATATGCTATAAAAATATTCGATTGAAATCTAATACGAAATACATAGTCGAGTTAAATTTAGGAAATCGTCCACAGGCTTAGTTTATATTTAGCATTGCCCATGTTCTGCCACGTCGGAAATATTAATGAACCACTACGTCGCCAGTCGATCGCTGTCTAGATAACACAGAATACCCTTTTTTGTTTGTAATGTCCCCGTCTTGCAGCTTCCGTCGTTTGCTTGCCGTTTCTGTTATGGTTTCGGTAATGTGTATGTATGTCAGATACACACACAACTGTAAGTTAGCACGTCATTGATTTATTGATTATTATTATTATATGTGATAATGAAATTGTTTTTGTTACAAAAATACGGATGCGTGTGTTGAGTGGATGTTTATGTGTGTTTGCGGCGATTGCTAAACTTCAGCCGAGGCACAGTACGAAAGATTGTGCTAAAGTGCTTTTTAAGGAATTCGAAGTGTTGGAATTGCCATTGCCTGAATTGTTATGTAAAACAACCTGAGGTGTGTCGATATAATTTATGCTAACCTAAAAAATATTTGAATGGACAATTTAGGAGAGGTTGACAGATTCAATGAATGTAACAAATCTATTCCATTCCATTTCCTTTCCTCATAAAGATATGACTACATAAAAGGATGACATGGGTTGGCGTATATAAAAAAGGTCAAGTCACACAATACAATTTAAATAACAGCTATACCGTAATATTGAATCATTATTTGGCTTTTAGTCAAGGCCCCTACTATTACCATTCGCACCAAAACAAAAAATGCGGGGGCGTGTTAATATTAAAAACTGTTATAACGATTATGATCTATAAAATTAACATAAGAAATACATAAGTAACCAAAACTAGTATTGTAGTTTTTCTATTTTAATTAGACTGTCTAAAATACACTAAATTATCGTAGTGTACCAATCGATCATTGGTACGGCAGATACCACTATGGTTCTGTACCATACTTTGAAGAAGTAGTGGACCAATAAGTTCCCTCTTTCAACTTTATATAGTCATAGTCATACTTAAAATATTAGGTTGATCAAAGTTTAATTCAACCATATTACGATTTTCCGTTCGCTTCATATGAGATGTAAAAATTTTCAAAATGTTGTCATTTGTGGGGAGGTGGACCGACAAGTCCCATATGTTAACGTTTTACAGTCATAGCTAAAATATTAGGTTGTGAAAAGTTTTGTTCAAATCTGATTGTTTGTTAATTTTTTTAGCATCATTTTCATCATTTCGCGGTGGAGGTACCGGAAGGAGTGGACCGATATTTCTCATCTTCGAACGTGATTCAAGTTTGGGATACTTTTCAAGAGTTAGACAGACAGACGGACGGACGGACGTTTGTAAATCGACTCCAAATTTTCTGAAACGGATTTGGTCCAAAAAACATGGGGTGTAAAAACGATATTTCTATAAGGCAAATTTTTGCCGTAACAAGGTGTAGGGTATATACATTATCCTGAGGATAATGGGGCTATTATAACATCAGAATTTATATAGCAACCAAAGGAAAAGTTGTCTATTTTTCTCAACTATTTTGAAAGGTCGTGCTGCCACATCCCTTGTATATTTGGTGTAATGACAAGCTGCGGCTGTCTGGTACATTTCAAGCAACACTATCTATTTAATATTTTAGCATAGATAAATCTACGATGTTCCACACAACAAATGACAACCAGGACACTCATCCTTTTTTGGGTGTATGTAATGTATGCATACATATATAAAAATATTTTGAAAAATAGTGCACAACGGATGTCTTTTACATTTACTATGTTTGGCTTGTGGCAAAGAAACCGTGTTCGTGGTGCCTCAACATCAATCTTCTTTATTTCCTATATGTATGTGAATCGGAAATTGTTGAGCATAGGAAGAAGGAAATGTATGCTGCCACGAAAGTATTTGCTAATTTTATTTGGGTGAATTTGAGGGGATATGGCTGGTAGCAGTCACAACTCCATAACGGCCGTACTACCGTCAGTTATTTCAAAATCAAAAGTAAAACTTAATAAAATCATGGAAATCATCAAAGTTGTAGTTATTTCAAATGATGTCCTTGACTTTTGAACAGCGTGTTTTTCCTGCGCATTTTTACACTACACCACAATGTGGTACTTTCTATGTCTTCTGCATTTGCTTGTAACATCAAAAAGAGAATCTGAATTTTGAGTATGTACTTGGACACACTTTTTGATGCCATGTATTGATGTCCCATCATCCTTCCAGGTTTATTTGTTATCAAATTACAGGACACATTTATTATCAACAGCAATAATGTTTATCGTTGGATGGAAAGCGGCTGAATTTTAATTCGACCTCAAACCTGACGCTTGGAACAGCGGACCATCGTATGCCCACTGATGGACTTGATTTAAATCCGTGTATATATGACTGTAGGTTACAATAAGAATTTTTATACCCTTCACCACACTGTGGTACAGGGTATTATGTCTTTGTGCATATGTTTGTAACAGGCAAAAATAATCGAGATAGACCCATTGTTCCTTTTGAGAATATGCATAGAATCACCTTCTGAGTCGATTTATGCATGTCCGTCCGTCTGTCCGTCTGTAGATGTTAAATTGTAAACAAAGTACAGGTCGCATTTATGATCCGAATTGGATGAAATTTGGCACAGCTCATTTGTTTGGCCCAAGGACGAACCCTATTGAAATTGGAAAAAATCGGTTCAGATTTAGATATAGCTCCCATATATATTTTCGTCCGATTTAATGTAAACGGTCCCTATATATCTTTCTATTTGGACAAAATTTGGCACAGCGTTATGAATAAGGTCTAGAATGATGTATGCCAAGTTTCGTAAAAATCGGTTCAGATTTAGATATAGCTCCCATATATATCTTCGTCCGATTTTAGGTAAATTGTGTACCAAAGTCCCTATATAAATTTCGATTTGCACGAAATTTGGCACAGCGTAATGAATAAGGTCTAGAATAATGTATGCCAAGTTGCGTGAAAATCGGTTCAGATTTAGATATAGCTCACATATATATCTTCGTCCGATTTAAGGTAAATTGTGTACCAAAGTCCCTATATATCTTTCAATTTGCACGAAATTTGGCACAGCGTAATGAATAAGGTCAAGAATGAGGTATACCAAGTTTCATGAAAATCGGTTCAGATTTAGATATAGCTCCCATATATATTTTTGCCCGATTGTAGGTAATTGGTGCACCAAAGTCGCTTGAAATCTTTTCATTTGCACGAATTTTGGCATAGCGTACTGAATTAAGTCTAAAATGATGTGGCAGAGTTTAGTGAAAATTGGTTCAGATTTAGATATAACTCCCATATATTTTTTCGTCCGATTTTATGTAATTGGTGCACCAAAGTCCCTATATATCTTTCGATTTGCACGAATTTTGGTATAGGGTACGTTGGTCAGCTAAGTACTTCGCTTTGTTACAAGAGACATTTGGGTTTGAAAGGTTTTTTGTATAGAAGCAATAGCTTCTGGGGAGAATATCCCAACAAAAAACTAAGGGAACTTATGAGGATCAGTGGCGTGATCCGAAACTATAGTCTTCCCTGCCTTACCCCTCGGTAATCAATGCCATACATTCCCCACTAATAGATAGTTGTTTTTTATAAAAACAAAATACAAATGGTATCCCAAATAAACCTCCAACACTACTGAAGTACTGAATTAAGTCTTAAATGATGTTGTTAAGCTGCGTGAAAAGATCCATAGCAAGGCCGAATGACACAACGTACTGAAGTAATATAAATTAGTCTCTGGCAATTTCCCTGAAATCGGTTCAGATATAGATATATAACAAAAACGCGTCGTCTGTTGGGATACATATGTAGAATATACCCAAAATGGTGAAGGGTATCATATAGTCGGCCCAGCCCGACTTTATTACTTTCCTTACTGGTTTATTATGCCGTACGGTTTTGCGTCATTCGCCCAAAATTCAAAACTAAAAAAATAAGCCACATTTTTCAAGGAACAAATTTGAAAACCGCTTTGAGCTTTATTGCTCTTGATATATCATACTGATTTCAATTGTCTATCAAAGGATTACCCTGTGAAATAAAAAAGAAATTAATTACGTATATTTAAAAAAAAAAACAAAAGTTATCATCGTAGTTGGTCCAAGTCCTACATCAACTGAATTTCCTTAAATCCACTCGAATGAGTCCAATATTAAAATGCGTTTTTTGTTCAATGAGTCCAAAATTAAAATGCGTTTTTTTTGTCTTATTATTTTTCTTGTATGAAAAATGTTAATGGACCCTTTTTTCTTGGCATTTCTTTTCAGAGCATGTAAATTATACAGGCCCAGACACATATATTGCTGTTGCTGCGTACTACAGTGCCTGCCACAAGTGATCGATTCGTGCATCCAGTCAACAATTGGACAAGACCAGCCATTGGCACAATTGTTTCGCAACTGCTAGCGCATTTCAATATTGATGGTGGCGGCGGATGTTTCGTAATGGTGTTGTATGAAAACAGAACACCGAACTAAGCCAAACAGCAAAGAGAGTTCTCGTTAAGATAACTGTAAACGTAGTTGTTTTTGTAATTTAAAAGAAAAATTGACTTCGCTGCCATACGAAGGAAGGTGAACCGTGAGGAGCGTAGGTGAAACGAAAATGTTAAATACTGGCACATATGTATCAACTGGGCCGGTGGAAGTATCCCAGGCATTGCAGGATGGAGAAAAGTTCATAAAATGGGATGATGTAAGTAAAACAGTCAATGTTATGGCAAATAAATAGACGTAGGATTCATATCGAGATGAACGCTGACAAAAAGTTAGCCGCTCAATCGATTACTTCCATCTGTAAATTCCTTAGAATGTTAGTTGTGTTAATCCAAATGTTAAAGATTTTGAGCGTTGCATTTGAAATATGTATGACATGTGGACAAAATTTAATTTGTGACGTTCAAATGCCTGGCATACTTATAGGCGTTGCTAAAAGTCATATTGACCACACTATAAAACCTTTTAAGCAGTGTGTGGGGTGTCGCATTACCTAGACGTTTTTCATTAGATTAATTAAATGGTATTAACTAAGAAGATTACAATAGCAAAAGAGGATAAACACACAAATTACAGTCTATAAATTTTTCTTCAGAAAATAAATATTATAATACGATGACTATTAGAGCATTCTATATTAATAATAAAATAATTATTTTTTTTTAAATAAAACATTTTTGAAGAAGAACCAGGGGTGGACCACTGCATAAAAGGCACTTCAAATGAAAACAGACGACATATAGGAATACAGAATCCGATGTATTATAATATGCTGATAAATGAAAACAGATGACATATAGGACTACAGAAACCGATGTAGTGCAGACGAATTTTAGTAACATTTGCCGAAAGAAAGAAAGAAAGTTTTAAACATGACTTCAGATTTTAAAGTTATAAAACGACAACATTTGCAATTAGTAGAATACTGTGGCGAGTGCTGGCACTTGTTGAAAACATATACCAATATTGTTTTGATACAACAGCGAATGTCGAAGATCGTATTTGTAATGTCCTGCCTTATAATTATATGAGACGTTTAGTGTGAAGACATTATTGTTACACCTATTTTTTCTTTCTATATTTACGTCCTAAATTAAGTACATAAAGTACCAGATAAAAATTTTTAATTCACTTTAAGGAACGCTAGGACTTCGAATTACTTTTATGAAGTAAATCAGATAAATTTATAATACCAAAGTATTACAACATAATTTTTATCACAAAAATGTATCAGTCAGAATAGAATGAACATGGAGATCGCGTGGAAATATGTATACCCCAAAATTTTATTCTGAAATCTAGTGTATAAAATTAGATAATAAATACGATGTGGTTTCAGTTTTCTTTTGCTCAATCGCCAAACAGAGAAGTCTTGTACATTTTAAACAAATTCTTCGGTGTTGTATTATTTATCTAAGATTTCGCGAAAATTTTAAGCCTAAAATTAAAACTTCCATTTGGTACCAAACTACATAAGTACCAAAAATCATTAAGTTTGCGAACAATATATATATATATATATAATGTCTAAAAATAATGTCATTTCTATGCACTGCATATTTCTTTCTTTGTATTTCAGACAAATGCAAAATCCCCATCGTTTGATATTGCAATGTGCCATATACATTCTAAATTTATTTGGTGAAATTTTGATTTACACCACTTTATGCATTGATCAATAGATCCTGATTAGGTCTCATCTATGGATTGCGAATATGTGTAAACAGTCGTTATCAATTATTTTATTGCAATGCAATAGACGATATAGTTTATCTTGAATGGCCAGTTCTTAACGAATGACATTGCGATGTGGGGCAGTTTAATAAAATATAGATAGCGAGGCCGGATTCTCAGACTCATTTTGGGTATATAAAGGCAAGAAATTGAAATGCAAAGTCACAGCCAAACGTACAACTCAATCGAAATGAAGGTGTTTATTGCATTCGCTGCCTTAGCCATTGCCTGCGCAAATGCGGCCAGTTTGGACGCTATTGTTCAACCGGGATTTCCAGAAGGACGCATCATTAACGGCCAACCTGCTGCCAAGGGCGAGGCCCCTTACATTGTGTCCTTGAAGACTTCTTCTCACTTCTGTGCTGGTTCCATTATTGATCCTCACTGGGTTTTGACTGCTGCTCACTGTTTGATTTACAACGACTTCCAAGTGGTTGCCGGTTTGCATTTGCGCAGCGATGAATCCGACGTCCAAATTCGCCGTGTTGTTGGAAAGGAAAATTTGTTCGGACACGAACTGTACAGTGGCAATGTTGGCCCCGATGACATTGGTCTCATCTATATTGCTGAAGCTTTTGATTTGAATGCATTGTCCCGCGACGGATCTGCTGCTGTGGCTAAGATTAGCTTGCCCTCGGGCAAGTACGAACAAACTGGAAAAGGAAAGCTTTACGGTTGGGGTCGTGACAATTCCGGTGCTTTGCCCAATAACTTGCAGACATTGGATGTAAACATAATTGGCTATTCTGAATGCAAGGCTGCTCTGCCCCTCTTTGCCCCTGTAGCTCCCGTCAATGTATGTACCTATACTGCAGGTACTACCGATGGCGCTTGCAATGGTGACTCTGGTGGTCCCTTGATTATTAACACCGCCGAAGGCAGCGAAATCGTTGGCATCGTATCATGGGGATACACTCCCTGCGCCACCACCAAATACCCCTCTGTCTACACCCAAGTATCGTCTTACCTATCCTGGATCGACACAACAATTCAAAATAACTCCAAATAAGTTTCTGTTTCTTCAATTGAAGTTTCCAAAATAAAGTTTACGAGCATTTAAAAATAGTTTTTCTTTTGTCCAGTCATGTGTGAAGTTAACAGGCGTGTACATATACATATTTTAGTAGTGATTCAAATTACCGGCACCAACACATACTAAATAAAAAGTAGATTAGTATCTTCGAAGTTCAGTGTAATAAAAATATTATTGGGGCCAATACACTTGTAGACTCCACACCGACAGACTGTTTTGTTTTTATATTTTGTAGCTGCGTTCACATTTGCCGATACAAGTAAATTCCCATTATTAGATATTGCAATCAGCCATCGACTTTATTAATTTATTGGTGGCATATTTTGATTTACTATTTGTTGTGTTTAGCTTTTCTGGGGATTTTGAATACTGTTCACTAAGTATTTATGAGTATAAATGATCAAATTATAAAGCTTTTTTATAGCAAAATGATATTGAAGAGAAATATTGAATATGTACTGTAGCTGCATCCAATAAGCTCGACGATATTTTGAGATTAATATTGCCAAAACATTGCTAGCCGTCTAATAGAGATGTGTTTTCAATAGTTTTTTTGAAGTATCGCATTTTTCCACTTTATGATCGGAGCCATTGATTATTTCATTGCCGTTGAGTTCGACCATGCAAAACTTTATGCAACTCGCCGGCGCGGAAGGTGCATACATTTTTCCGCCAGGAGTTATTAATCGCTCCTAGACAACAATATCCCGTACTTTCTCATAGTTGACTAAATTTACTACTTTGAGCTGGGCCAAATTTCTCTTGCATTTTAGGTAAGTTTATCTCTTTTACTACACTTTATAATAGGTTTCGACTTTCTCGCAAAAGATGTCAAAGTTGTACAATAATGAGGTTAAAATTTGCACTTCTTACAATTTCTGTCAAATGGTCTTAGCTAGTTGTGGTGGTGGGTAAAGTATATACTGCAACAAGCCAAATACTGAATACATTCAAATCCGTTTAATGAAAGTGGCCTAACACAGTATGTTTGTTTCAATTATCCGAGTTTATCCATAATGCGAAGACCGGATAATTGGTATATGTATCATTTAACGGAAGTTTAAAGTTCAATAAATTTGGTGCGATAAATCTGGCATTTTAATACCATGAAATAGGTTCTGCCTCCATATTATCCCATTCGACAATATCGGCTCCCTCAGTAAATTTGCTACGATTCTTTTCCGGTACAGACATTTAAAAGATCCAATGACCCCCCGATCAATTGACTGACAGCTGTTTAAATTCTCTTAAATGTTACTACTCAGAGACGGTTCGTCAGAAACAGTGATATTAATGAAATACATACGTCAGAAACGTCGGAAACCCACCCAAAACCATTAGGTTTTTGACAAAATAGATATTCGCATTTACGCATGGATTTACTCAATTCCATATAAAATTTCAAAATTTTCTTCTCAATAAAGTTTAGAATTTGTTATCAGTTCTAGTAAGGAATAGTCAGATGTACGTAAAAAAAAATATAAATTCTTGAAAATAACTGTGTATGGTGATAATATTGAAATAAATGGCGTTTACTACATTTAATACATTTCATACAGTTATATGACGTTTTCGACGTTTACACCTTCTTGACGGAAGAAATATTACGATGTTCACTCCTTTCCACAGTATGAAGTATTTTTCCCCCTACATTCCCCCTATCATACAAAATGAAACACGTTATGTAGTTTATGTTAAAACAATGTTATGCTGTTAACATTTGCATACTTTTTATTAATAAGTTTTTAGTGGAGGACATAGTAGGCGTGTTGGATTTTGGCAACCCAATCAACGTAAGCAGAGACACGGGTGTAAATGGAAGGCAAGTTAGCCAAACCGCAGGGAATATAACCCCATGAAACAATGCCAATCAATTCGGAGGGAGCGTTTTCGTGTTCAATAACCAATGGGCCGCCAGAATCACCGTTGCAAGCGGAGATACTTTGTTGCAAAGAGTCTGAGCAGACGTTAGTCTCGTGCAATGGGGCGGTTTCGGGCAAGACTTCCTTGCATTTTTCAAATTCGACAATTTGAGTTTGGACGGTTTGCAAAGTTTTGGCAGCGGTGAGAACGTAGGATTTAGGTTGGCCCCATCCATACAGGTGAGTTTCGCCGGAATGGATTTCTTCAACGGAGGGCAAGGCAGCAGGTTGGACCCAGGCATTGAATTCGAAGGGTACAGACACGTGCAAAAGAGCAATATCGTAGGGACCAACACCACCATCGTAGTTTTCATGTACCTTACCGAAATCGACTTCACGGGCTTGGGTCTTCTCGTTGAAATCTGTGCGAACGTGCAAACCGGCTACAACACCCATACCAACTGGGTTGCTAATGCAGTGAGCAGCAGTTAAGATCCATTCCTTGGCGATGATGGTACCGCCGCAGATGTGGGAGTGCTTCGTAGTTCTGCTCAATGAGACGATGTAGGGGGCGGCGTGTTCCTGGGCGTCTTCGCCCTTGATGACGTAGCCAGTGGCGAAGCTGGGAATCAATTTTTGGGCAATATCTCCAATGTTGCCAGCTTGGGCGCAAGCCACCAAAAGAGCAAAAACTACTAAAACCTTCATGTTAACAACGGGTACTGACTGTATGGCGCTCGCACCGAACCTATTTATATTAAAAATTGTTTTTAATCAAAATTGAGATTTTGAATGATTTATAATGGGGCCGTACGTACGAGAGCTTATCATCTTAGTCAAAGTTTAATCCAATATACGACACTTAATCAGAATATTTTTCCATTAGCTATAAACCGTAGCAGATTTCTTTCGATCGATAAATGTTTATCAACACGCAGATCAACTTGATTAGAAGAAAATCCTCTTTGTAGAAATGGCGGATGAGGAATTTTAGTTTTTCAAGTTGCATTTTATTTACCGTTGTAGGACTTAGTTCGGAATGTTTTAAATACGGAAACAACGCCTATATAACCTGGAGGACGAAATGAATTTCATAAATATTTACAATGTCTAATCGGACTAAACGTAAACGTAACTTTCTAGTGTGTAGTGATTATATCGCTCATTTGCTGCAATACAGGCATAAATCAAAATAAAAAAGAAAATGCGTTTTAAGTTTTCAATTTACTCACACTTCTACTGCTTCTCAATTAGAGTGTGTAAGAGATATTCATGCATCACTAACTCGAAATTCACGTTTTTTGAGTTATGCATGTCTTACAGCAAATGAGTGATATGTATGACAACATAACTAATTTTAATGAATTATTATTTCCTCGAAATGAAGGGTTATTTCCAATTGTAAACAGTTTAATTGATTTTTTTTGAAATGTTCCACTTATTTAAAAAAAAAAAAAACATACATTATTCACCATACGTTGTTCACGAAACACCCCTTAATGCTCGATTTGTTTGAAATATTAACCTTCAGTTTTACGCAATAATATTTACCGTGGCATGATGCCCGAATTTTTCCTTGCCCGTATAGCTATATTCAATATGCGAAATTTGACATCAAACTGAGGAGAAATATGCCCGAAAATTTGCACAAAACTCATAATCCTCGTTCGATATAACCATCTTAAACGGTCTGGGATTAAACAATTCCGCTCATCAGTCAATTGAACTTACCGATATTGAAAGTAAAAAGGTACTTTTTATGGCACTATGAAATTAGGTAAAAAGGAAAGTTGTATATTTGTAGCGAAAACTTGTACTTTAAAAAAATAAAATTGTTTTATTACATTTACCGAGGAAGACAAGCTTACCATCTGTCAAAATAGTTTTTTATTTTTCACTCAAATGCTGCAGTAAATTATCTTTGTCTTGAACATTTTTTTTTACAATTTTTAAGATAACTTACATTTTAAATGGTAAAAAAGTTCACGTTGTCAACGATTGCCAATAGTAGTTATTTCTGTTGTTTATGCTCCAAACTTTAGAGTATCAGATTCAATGGGCCTATTTGCGCCAGCACGAAAACCATCGAATTTTTCTCCAAAAAGTACTGGAAAGTTCTTTTCGAAACGTCAAAAAATACGTTAGGTTCTTTCGCCAACTCTAATTTTCGCCATATATTCATTGATCTGCAATGCATCAATTTAAATCATAACATTTGGTATACGTTTGTGCTAATATGAATAAATCACATGTTTCTCAAATTAAATAAGAATAATGTGAGCAGATCAAATTTACAAAATAATCAATTAAGAAGATTTTGGGACTATATATAATTGCTAACCGATTTTATATCAATCGGACCATAAATGCGATTTTTATGAGTTTTATCAACTTCAACTACATTTTCCTATGTGCGTTGATTCAAAATCTGTTCGCGTTCACAAAATCGGATGCTGCGCACAAAAGTTATAGCGGTTTAAATTTTTGTATTTCAAATATCCATTAAATGAATTCCTATGTTTTGTAATTCGCAAATTTCTTAAATACATTTGTTCTCTTTGCATACTTGTCAAATCACATCGAAAAACGTTTTAAAGTCGCGAAAAACAAATAGAATCATGAAGATATCTGAAAATAAAATAATATATTTTTTAAAATAAAAATGTTTTTTTTTGAATTTTTTTAGCATGGTTAAGGAAATTCGGCTGAGCCCTAATCTTCTAAAGTATGCGACGCTTTCTTCAAATTATTTTAGATGATTGTTAAATATCGGTAGATTCCTCTGATAAGTGTTGCGACTTTAAAAATGACTAAAAACATTGATCAATATTGAAAAGCATGCAATTCGCGTATTCGTTCAAATCAGTTGTTGTGCATGCGGTTTTCATATAAACCGAATCAATCTCTTCAAATAGTTATGAATTTTTCAATGTTTCATTTACCGGCAAAAGTGTGCCGTTCGAAGCACTTTGCTATGCAAAAATTCCAAAAGTGGTTAAAAATGACGCAACGTGCATAAGATTTTTATGCGCATCAGATTTCAGTAATCTCCTATGAAAATACACAATTTGAGTGGACCTTTTCAAATTCAGACACAAAAAATATGTGTTTAATAAAAATTTACGCACCAAATTTTCGTCTTTCGAATCCAATAACAAAGACGCTACGGTGAGCACATTCATGAGATATACTCTGAACAAAGCAAAACCACGAGTTCTACAATCCCATAATCAGTTTAGTCCATTATCCGGCTTCAAAATGTCAGCATCTGTTTTGAGTGGATGCAGTGATTATATCAATAATTATACATTAGAACCATATTGTCCATGGGGTATTCTTCAACTTAGTTACTGATGACATGTGCGTGAATTGTGTAGTTTAGCCACAAATCAGGAAGGAACATAAAAAACTTGTTGGCTTCAACACCTTTTCAAAAAACCAACAAAAAACGTAAAGTATTTCTTGGAATTTTTTGAAAGTTTAGTTATATCATGGAGAAATAATTATTTAATATTCATATTTTAATTAATAATAAAACATAATAAATTGTTTTTTTTTTTTTACATTCCCCATCCCTTATTAAATGTTGTACTCCTATTTTTACTGGTTTTGATCCAATTTGATTCATATAATAGTGGACTGTTACGCTGTTAACTTTTAAAGAATTTTTAAAATTTATTGGTCCTATCAGGTCTAGGCCGCATTCTAGTAGCACCTGTGCTATGGAACTAAGAAAAAAACAAATTGTGAAAAATACGAGATGTTGACAATTTCTGGAGGAGGACCCATTTTTTACACCCTTTGGGGAGTTGCAGGATAGAGTGGGCCGATAGGCTACATCTGCGGATATGAATTAGATGTGGTAAAAATGCTCGTCCAGGCCAAAGTTATGCTCGAACATATAGAATATCCGACCATTCCTTCTTGTACGCCCCTCCCCTACAAATGGTCAAAAGTTTGCATGAAAATAGATTTATAATATCCTGCGAAATGATTATCCGTTTTGATCCAAACATTACACAATCTAACATTTTTAATAAAACTATATCATTTTGGGTAATGTTCCCATTACCCAAAATTGACCCACTCATTTTTGGTACCTCCCCCATAAAGGGTTCATATTTTGAAAAGTTGTAAATTCCTTATAATGCTATCGTAATATTCGATTTGGAAAAATTCTGCATATCGGAATATCTTTGTCAACCTCTTTTTGTAGTACCTTCCCCTATAAAGGGTCAACATTTTTGAAAATGTGTTAATCGAATATGTAGCTCTTTGATTATCCGATTCGACCCCGGATAATCATATTAGTATTAGTAGTAGTTTTTCATTAACTATTTCATATCGTATCAAAGAAATTGGGACTTGGAATGTTGAAATACTTTATAATTAAAATACACTATAAAAATTCACGAATTGGGCTTCAGCTGTGTTAAATAAATGGAAATAAAATTGTTCTAACTACTCTTGAGGTTCAGGTCAGATTAGATTTCATTCGATGTAATTAACAACATTATAATTTACTACAGTTATCGTAGATTTCGTCAAACCATATTTTACGTACAATTAAACTTTGGAACCACTATCAAATACACATATTTGTATTTGATATCAGTTCTATGTATGCACTGTTATTTAAATTAATTAATATGTGTAGATGTATGTGGAGGACTCAGGTGTATCAACGCATAATATATTTTTCCTGTGGCAATATTTCAATGTATGTATATATGTATGTGTTTGCAAACGGTACATACGTACTTGCTCACTGTAAATAGTTTGCTACAGTTGTTTCCTTTTTTTGGTGTGCCAACCTCGTCGAATCTTATATCAGTGTGTTCGAAAAAATGGCATCGTTGACCAATTTGTGATGCAGGATCTGTAGAGGCAACAACTGTGTATTCACTACCGCGATGAATAACTGTTTATGCCAAGGACAACGGAAGGTCAGCAAAGAATAAAACTCGGCATGTGTATGACGGTGTATTTATTCCAGCCGATGGTTGGAAGGTCCATTGTTCGAAGTGAAGCTTGTGAAACGCATTGTTCTTTTTATAGTCGTTCTACTGGTTGGGGCTGATAGAATATCGGAAAGCCACTGAAGTGGACAAAAGCAATTTATTGGTTACTTAACGAACAAAAAACTACCCTTCCCGCGGTGTTTCCATTAAGACGAAAAGTATTCATGATATTTAAAAATAAACGACATTATTAAAATGCGGTGGAAATTACACGCTTCCAACTAACTACGTAATAACAGAAAATTAGGGCGGCAGTGGTGTTGGCTAGGCAATTTTAATATTGTTACACTCTATAACTACATATATATTTGCTTAACTGGACATTTTTATTAACTGTCCGTAATAAGAGGGATGTTCGAATTCGGAAATATGAAAATTGTGATTCTATAATTATAAATGTGCATTGTTTTACGTCTTGAATGTTCATTTGATATTTACAATTATTATTTGTCAAAATCTTAATTTTTTTAAGTTATAAACACCAAGATAGACATCAACAAAAACCCCCCGATTCCGCATTTACAACTATATATAGACATTTGAGTGCACCCTATTTTTTTGTCATAGGACTAACTTTATAGAATGGTTAAAATTCGTCCAGATTTTAATACAGTTTCCGCGTATATCATCAGATACCAAATAACTAACGCAATATACGTCTTATAAAGTGATTCAAGCATCCAAAACTATTCTAAAACAATCTATACCACATTTGATATAAATCGGTTCAAATTAATATATGCCTTTATAATAAAACAACTCTTTTTAAAAATATAAATTTTGGCTAAATATCGGTAGGTTCCCGGACAGTTTGGGATGGTTGTGGCGAACGGTCAAATATTCATGTGACTGATAACCTAAAGAAATCAAATAAAACGCCAATTAAATTTTTTGAGCTTTGTGCAAATTTTGGGGTATGTTTCCCCTCTGTGTGACGCCTATGTGTGTTCCCTGTAGATAAGCTCTTTCTGTTTTATATGAGTACGGTTATAAATTTGCCGTCTTCTACGTGCGATAATTTTCCAATTCTAATCATTAGCTACCGTTAGACATTGGCTATCATCAAACTCTTCTTAAGAGAGTCTGAAGGGTTATGTTTGTAGTTAAGAGTTTTTCATGTTCCGTTTCTCTTTTACAAGCAATATATAAGGCCGGACGTAGCTATAAAACGACCCTTCTGATAACGTTACCGTCACAGTTTTAATTTGAGGTTCGTAGACTTGGGAGGTTAATATGAAGGTCTTTGCTTTGGTGCTTTTATTTGCTGCGGTAGCCTGTGCTACTCCTATTGACATCTTGGGAAAGTTATTGTACGATCGTCTGACCGGACCCGCCGTTGACATTAATCCATTCATTATTGATGGTGAGAATGCCGCCGAGAAATCTGCACCCTATTTGGTTTCATTGAGCGCCTCCAAATTGGTAGCCGCTCACAGCTGTGCTGGCACCATCATTGGCAAGGAATGGGTTTTGACCGCTGCTCATTGCGTCAATGAATTGAACCAATTGGCCGGTAATATAGTTGGCTTGACTGTGTACGCTGGTTTGACCGATCGCACCAACGAAGAAAATGCTCAAATTCGCACAATCGACTTTGCCTTCAATCACAAACAGTTCACCGGTGCTGAAGGTTCCGACGATATTGCCCTGTTGCACGTGACACCCGCTTTTGAATTTGGTGCCAATGTGAAAGCCGCTGCTTTGCCCTACCTAAAGGAAGAGTTCGATGGAGAAACTTCAGCAAACTACGGATGGGGTTTGGACAATGCCGAAGGTTCCTTGTATGTTAAAGACTTGAAGGTTGCCAAGTCCGATGTCTTGACTGCTGAAGAATGCAAGGCAGCCCTCCCATCGGATGCTCCCGTAAGCTCAAAGCAAATTTGCGTAAAGGTAGCTGCCTGCTACGGTGATGGCGGTTCTCCTTTGGTCGTTGAACGCGACGGTGACGTCGCTGAGTTAGTTGGCATCACATCCTGGGGCTACATGCCTTGTGGTTACAACAACCGCCCCACTATTTACACCGCTGTATCTCAATATGTTGATTGGATCAATGAGGTCCAATGGGCATACAACGTACTTCATTAAACCCATACAAATAAATTATCGATTGCGGGCAAATCCGCAAAACAAATCAAATCTTATCTGTTGTAGTTTTCTTTCCGCTCCACCTTCAGATTTACGGCGCGTCACTAATTAATTTACCATCGACATTGAGTAGCGATTTGTATCGGGTGCAGGTGAAGCTATCTGCATTTATTGGGCCCTGATAAGGCATATATAATTTATGAGTTTATTTATTAGTCGCATATCTTGAGGAGTTTATGGAATGTGTGTATACCACGAACACTCTAAAAATGTCAACAGAAGTTATTTGCAGAATCATAAACTAATATTTTAAAGGTGACAAAAATATAGCATTGCCAAAAATTCTACTAAATAAATTCTACATTAAATAAAGATTAAGATTTATTTATTTAGATTCCGTATGACAGGAGGACCTGCGCTGCTTTCATTTAAGTTATATATTATAGATATGCATTTTTCAAATTCATCTATAAAAAGTAGAGTCTGGCCTGATTCCCAGCGTGTTTGACATACGGTATGTCAAGACTGCCTTTACACATTGAATAAACAAATGTTAGTACTAAACATAAATGTTTCTTTATTAAGGGAACCCCCTCCCCCATTCTCGATTTTTTATTTTTAAGATTTTAAATGGGCTGGTAAATGAATACCAATGCTTGTTTAGGTTTGTAACTTTGCACATATATATTTCAAGATTTAAAAAGGAAGAAACATAATTTACAAAGAAAATTGTGTTGTTTTTTGTGATTAAAGAAAAGTCCTTATTTTTGATGGCGGGCATGATAACTCCTCACTGGAACATCGGAATCCGAAAATTCCAATGGTGTTAGAAAGAGTACATGTCTCTTGTATGAACTAGGATTTTTGACTCCGCACAACAATTAAATTTGAATTTTTTTTTTTGGAAAATCGCCTATTTTTGAACACAAACTAAGTTAAAAATATGGAAGATCTTCACCGATTGGCTTTATCCTAGTTCATACGATAGCTACACACTCCCAGAGAAACGTGTAAAAATTTGGAACCGATTAGATTATTAGTTGTTGAGTTATCGTGCCCGCCATTCGTAAAAAAATGTTTCGAGAAAAACGCGTTGAAAGTTTGAGAATCACTCTTGCCATCACTTGATGCTGACACAATAAATCGGCTATATCTTCAAAAGTTCCTGAGATTTTCACTTGAAATTTTGTAGGGACATTCTTGAATCAGAGTAGATTCGAACTAAATAAAAAAAAACAATTTTTTTCAATTGTTTTACATTGTTAATTAACTCTTCACACATGACTTAAATGTAACCAGAAATAGGATCATTATCCTGATAAAATTTATTTTTTTAATAAATATTGTTGTGCGTCCATCGTTGTTTCTATAAAAGCTAAATCTCCCACGGCTTTCAAATCATTATTGCCATTTTTTTTCCAAATTTGTCTTGCGCCAAATTTTGGATTCATTGCAAAACTCAGAGCTTTTTGCGTGCTACTCTGGATGAGTATTTGTCTTTCGAATTGTTTCGTGACAAACTTTAACACCAGACTCCTCTTCAAGGTCCCTCGCTCTTCCTTTTGATCACTTTCAATAATTTTTCTAATAATTATGCGCTCAGTTCGCTTATTAATTTCGGATTTCAGACCACCTCCACTATTTAATGCTTTGTAAATTGTGCTTCGTATAACTGAAATCATTTCCGATAATTCGATCACACTTTTCCCCAACTAGCGGTTGTTATTTCAAGGCATGTTGCGCACACCTATAAATGTTGTCAAATGACTAAATTGCCAATTTGATGTAAGGTTATTTAATCTCTACATCTCTATTTATATATATATATATTATATATATATTTATATATATATATATATATATATATATATATATATATAAAATGACCAAATGCCAATTTGAAGGTTATAAAAACGTAAGGTTATTTAATCTCTACATCTCTATTTCTCTATTTATATATAAAAATTACATGTATATTCGTGATCGCTAAACTCAAAAATTACTGCACCGATTTTGACCAAATTGTGTGTACAGGCACTATGGGGCGTGAGGAGTATTTCTGTGTAGTTTGAAGTTCATCCGACAGATGGCGCAATATTAAGTTTTTTTTCTGTTTTTGCAACGTAACTCAAGAACTACTGCACCGATTTGACCAAATTGTATGTATTTGCTCTATGGGGCGTGAGGAGTGTTTCTGTCTAATTTTAAGTTCGTCACACAGATGACGCGCTATACAGTTTCTTGGCGTTTTGCCCGATTAGAGATTGGTTGCTAAATTGATGCAATTCTGATAGGGCAAAACAACGTTTGCGGGGCTGCTAGTTATTAATAATAATTCTGTTTATTTTTAGGATTCGTGTCAAGGAACTCCCGTTACAATGCGGGTCGATCCCGGTGGCTTCTTCCTTTACTGGGTGGATCAAAATAACGAAATGGATATGCTTGATATTGCCACGATAAGAGATGTTAGAACCGGACCTTATGCAAAAAAGCCAAAGGTAAGCATTCAATTAGATTTGCGATATTTTATAAAGAGCGAAAAATAAAGTAGCTTTCCCTTGTAGAAGTGACAAACTTAAAGATGATTAGTTAAGGTTTTCTTTATAATGATAAAAATGCATAGATGGAACTTCAAAACTTGCTATTATAGATGTAGAAACCTCAACAGTTTATAAATACCATAACCATAAAATATTGTTTTGTTTTTTATTTTATTTTCAGGATCCCAAACTAACCCAAATAGTAACTCTAGGTTCTCAGGACACATTGGAGGAAAAAACTGTAACTGTTTGTCATGGATCGGACTTTGTTAATATCTCCTTTATAAATTTTTGTTGCACCAAAAAGGAAATTGCTCAGGTATGTATCTAAATTATCTGCAACACAAACACCACAAGTTCACGGACTGCCTGTGATCCTATATTCGTACGCGCCACCAATCAGAATGTGTGACAAAGTGCTACAATACAAAGTGCTCGCATTCCCACTGTTTCCAATGAAATTTTAATGAATGAAAACATCTGCAGCTATCCGTGCTTCTGTTCCATAGGAATGCTTTTCATATACATTTGACACAAATATTTCTTTTCGGAAGAGTACACAAACTGACGTTTCTTTGCAGTCATGCTTAACACACGAAATAACGCAATGAAACACTTGAAATAATGTTATGAACTATTAATCGGGTGAGAAGAACGTACGGCGACTGCATATATTTTTATCTATGATGCACTATTGCATTATATTGGCAAAAATTGTTATTTAATTAAAGAGATTAGATTCAAGGATTCGAAATTTGTACAAACATTAACATTTGTAGGCAATGTACCAAATTATTCATTTTCACCTGAAAGTAGGTCCACTCAGAAAATAACGAAATTATAAACAAAAAAGATTCATATAAAAAAATAATAGTCTGGTCGTTGTTTGATTTTACTTACAGCATTGGTGTGATGGTTTAATGCGCCTGGCGTACAGCTTGGCCCATTTGAATGGGTCCGTAAATATGTTTCTGAAAAAAGCGCACACCAAACTATGCTTACAAATCGATAAGAGTGGGAACATTCCAGTAAAGAAGTATGTCTGAATGCAAATCAAATTACATTTAAATTATAGGTTTGGTTAATTTTTTGCCTCCACAGTATTGTCAAAATGTTTGCCCAAAATAAGGACGATCGTAAGCGAGTGGAGAAAGCTTTGGAAAATACAGGCCTACCGTCGGGAAAAACAGAGACCGTTCCTATTTCGAAATTCACATTCGAAGAATTTTACAACTTGTACAAGAATCTCACAACACGTAATGAGGTGGAGAAGGTGTTCGACCATCTGTGAGTAAAATGTGACATCACCATCCCCGAAAATGTCAGTTTAAAAATGTCATTTCAATTATAGTGTTGGCAACACAAAGCGGAAATATATGACAACAAATCAGTTTATGGATTTCTTAAATAATACTCAACGCGATCCGCGCCTCAATGAAATCTTGTATCCTTATGCAGACACGGAAAGGGCGAAGGAAGTAATAACACAGTACGAGCCTAATAAGTTTAATGCACAGAAAGGCTTATTAAGTTTAGACGGATTCTTGAGGTAAGTCTGAATATGATTGTAGTGTGGGTACCAATAATCGATTGTCTTATGCCATGTACAGACGAGCGTTGTTCGCCCTCTCATTCGTTGTTCGATCCCTAATTATGAAGTAATTACTTAGTTCCCCATACAAAATTTTCTGAGCGAACACCGACTTTTGTACGTTGTTCAATTCGAATCACTCTCTGAATAACCAAGAATTTTGTCCCATTCCTAACATTTGAGAGTATTTATCGAAAATCAATTAATTTTGACAGTTTGAAAACATGAAATTTTCAAACTTTTTCAGTAAAATTGAAAATGATGAATGAAAAGTAACAAATTGTCTAGTTTTTATATATGCAAAAGGAAGTAAATTTTGTAATCTACATAATGCAATACGCATTTCTTTCCCTTTTGTTCTAATTAGCGTTCATAGCAACAATATTTTCGGAAAAAATGGAAAACATGAATTAAAAGTAAATAGATATAGGTTCATACTATAGTCAGGAGAAAGAATTTTTTTTTTATTTAGATCCATATGTGATTCACGCAAATATGTTAACATTTTGGTGTAAAACAAGAAACAAAAATTTGAAATAAAAAAAAAACTCTAATGACGTGAATTAAGAATAGTGTTGTATGAACGGGTTAATTCATGTACGTAATTCTGAGAGCGAACTACGTTGTTCGAATGCCCGTCAGAACATGGCATTAGCAAGGTTTGGTTACGTCCGTTTAAAATAATATAAATATTAAGAGATTGTAGTATAATAGTCACCTCAAATAACCCGACAGACAAATTAAATTACCAGCTAGAAAATTGTGGGTATAAGTCCACATTTGGTATTAACAATGTCCACATTTCGCATACTCATAACAAACGTAAATTCTCTTTTAAGGTATAGCTTCAGTGCAATTTATTGTTAAAATTGATTAAATTAAGTCCTTGCAAAAAAATTTAGTAGATGTTGTTGTTGGTACAGCTCCCATGAAAGGGAACCGTCTGGTTTTAGACTTTTTAATATCACTTTATGTTACCCCTTTGTATGTAGGTAACTTCAGAATTCATTAAATGTGTATTTGTTTTGTGTATAACGAAAGGATAACGTTATTGTCACTGTTTGGAGTGTAAAATCATCGGCCCGCCCGACATTATCCATTCAATATAAGATTATTTACTTAATGAAATCCCATGTCTTAAAACACTTCAATAGTCATGTTCGTCTTTTATTGTCAATAGAGAGAAATTCAAGGTCTACATTTCATTCATATCGCTGATATTGACATACCGACATGAATGCCCTTTCATTTGTAAATGTTTAGAAGGACAATTCATTGTTTATGCTCTAGTTTGGAAGTCCCACAACGATATGCAAAAGTTGACAATTCGGAAACGTATGTCATTAGAGCATTCAAGGATGCAAACATGTCCGACTTTTGCTCTTATCTTTGTTCATTAAAAGGGTAAGTGTTTGTTGAATGAGAGCACTGTAAGTTCGTTTATATCGTGGGTGTTTTGTGCTACAGACATACTCGCTACACATTTATACACATGCGTTTCAACATTAGGCATCCAAAAGAGGTTACAAAGAACTAAAAATGCTAGCGCAATGTTTTTAAAATAAATTATGGATTTTTTCAGGTATCTTATGTCGGAAGACAACCCGATAATGGCGGCAAATAAATGGGATTTAAGTGACGACATGAATCAACCCTTAGCCCATTACTTCATAAACTCATCCCACAATACATATTTGACAGGGCACCAGTTGACCGGAAAATCGTCCGTGGAAATTTATCGGCAGTGTCTATTAGCCGGATGCAGGTAATTACTATACCTATTATACGATTAGTATTTGGTTTTAGTACAAGTTATCGAGTAAGGTTTGGCCAATTAAAATGTTCGCTTTACATCGTGTTTCCTATTGTAGATGTGTGGAACTCGATTTTTGGAACGGCCGCACCGACGAGCCCGTTATTGTTCATGGTTACACGTTTGTGCCTGAAATTTTTGCCAAGGATGTTTTGGAAGCCATTGCGGAGAGTGCATTTAAAACGTCAGAACTTCCAGTGGTACTGAGCTTTGAAAACCACTGTAATCCAAGACAGCAGGTATTCTATAGATTACGTAGTTAATGATTCCACCATTGCTTATCGTATAAATCAAAACACACATTTAGATTTTAGAGGCAACCAATGATATATAACTTCAAATGGTCCACTATAAACGAAGTATTTTAGCTTTCACGAATTTACAAATTTATATTTTGTATACCATGTCTTTAGAACACAAATATTTTTTTTATTTATTGTGTATTGCTAATGTAGGCTAAAATTGCAAATTATTGTCGAGAAATATTCGGCGAAATGTTGCTAGATAAGCCTTTAGATTCCCATCCCCTCGAACCCAATGTTGAGTTACCACCGCCCTCATCGCTCAAGCGTAAAATTATCATTAAAAACAAGAAGAAGCATCACCACCACCATCATCACAAGAAGAATGCAGGTTCGTCGGCTAATAACAAACAATTGGTATCAGCAAACTCAGGTAAGTTAGAGGACAAACCATGGTACAATAATACAAGGTAGGGCAGCTTGAGGTGAATAACAAAAAAGCAAATATGCACGTGTGTCCTCTTCTGCCAAAAATAAAATAAATATACGCAACAAGTGTTTGTGTTTATTTGACATTTTTTCAACACAAAACTAAAAACGCGAAAAATGAATGAAGGATTATGATTTATTCCCAAAATCCAGTAGGGAATACCACAAAATGTTTGTTTCATCCATAACAAAGTAATTACTTCTAGACGAACGTTTAAAAACATAATTTTCATTTCAATTAAAATTGAATATATTTCAATTTATTTTGAATTTATTTGACATTGTATTCAAAACAATACACACACATACACAAAATATGTATTTTGATTTGATGGAACAAGCCACCTTGAGAAAAAATTGTAATCAGTTGGTAGCTGTGCCCTACCTTGTAATAATTATACCCTGGGACAAACATACATTTGTAAGACAATTCCAAGCAATACATTCCCTTCTACAAAGCACTCTTTTTCGTGAAAACTTCAAGCAAGACATAAATAATATAAATTTCTTTTCTTCGTACAGTTGATGCGTCACATAAGTCAGGAGCAGGTGTATCCTCAGCGAATACATCGCAACAGGAGGATGGAAATACTGGTGCTTCGGCAACAACAAATGGTGATATTGGGAATGGAAGCAATCATGCCCCGCCACTACATGTAAGCTGCGCAAATATCGTTTAATTTGCTTCTCTGATGTTCAATTCAATTCCAGCAACTGCGACAAAGTTCCAAAGACAGCACTGGCTCTTCGGATACCGATAGTTCCAGTGACGACGAATCTCTTCCAAATACAACCCCAATTTTGCCAAGTGGCAATGAACCACCGCCGGAGAAGGCACAAAAGGAAACGGAAGCCGGCGCTGAAATATCCGCTTTGGTTAACTACGTACAGCCCATTCATTTTAGTTCGTTTGAAAACTCAGAAAGTTCGTAGACACTGCATTTGAATTAAGTGCATCATTATTTACTGATCTTTTTGATTCCAAATAGAAAAAAATCGTTGCTATGAAATGTCTTCGTTTGATGAGAAACAAGCCACAACTCTGCTAAAAGAACGACCCATAGAATTTGTCAACTACAACAAACATCAGTTGTCTCGCGTCTATCCGGCTGGTACACGTTTCGACAGTTCAAATTTCATGCCACAATTATTCTGGAATGCCGGCTGCCAGCTTGTGGCTCTAAATTTCCAAACTCTAGATTTGGCAATGCAGCTTAATTTAGGCATATTTGAGTACAATGGTAGATCTGGATATTTGTTGAAACCGGAATTTATGAGACGTACTGATAGACGTTTGGACCCATTTGCTGAAAGCACGGTGAATATATGATGCATATCTGCTGAATTTTAAAATATGTTACATTGCCATTGTCTTTCGCAGGTGGATGGCATTATTGCGGGTTCCGTATCTATCACGGTTCTGTCGGGCCAATTTCTGTCCGACAAACGAATTGGCACTTATGTGGAAGTCGATATGTTCGGCTTGCCTGCCGATACCGTTCGAAAAAGGTTTCGAACAAAGATTGTTCGCGATAATGGCATCAATCCTGTGTACGATGAAGACCCCTTCGTTTTTAAGAAAGTATGTAGACGTCGTTTATTTATAAGTTTGAAATAAAGGAGTGTTCAAATGTGGTTTTCTAGGTTGTACTTCCAGCTTTAGCTAGTATACGAATCGCTGCCTACGAAGAAGGAGGGAAATTTATTGGACATCGTGTGTTGCCCGTCATTGGCTTACGGCCGGGCTACAGACACCTCAGTTTGCGGAATGAGGTAGGACAGCCACTACCCCTTACATCCTTATTTTTATGCATTGTGGTAAAGGACTACGTTCCGGATGATATTGCTGTATTTGCCGAGGCATTGGCGAATCCAATTAAATACCAAAGTGAATTGGAAAAGCGTGATAAGCAGCTGGCGGTTTTACAGGAGGACACTGAGCCGGTTCTCAGCGAAGACGACGTCACCAATTCATGTAAGTGTCAATATTCGTTTTCACCCCAAAATTTCAGTACTTCGCTAACAGCAAACAGAATGCAAAGCCAACACGAAAAACATTAGTTTTCTTAGGAACACTAGAAAGAGTGACCAAGTCAAATAAAAATAGGTATCAAACAAACGAAATGTAAAATAATAAAACAACCAGGAAACAAGTGGAAATATTGGTAATATTTATGGAACAACATTTAGTAAAATCCAGCAAGAAAATTGATTTTTCGCAAAATACTTGAATCACAATATGGAGTTTTTCATTAACGCGAAGCCAATAGTTTGCATAATACAGCTATAATGCGTATTATTGCTTAACATCTCAAAAATAAAAAAATGTTGAAATTCTGTTCGAAATTTTTAAAATATTTTATATTTAACAACAAAACATAAACATGAAAATATTTACTTATTACAATTTTACCAATGAGAATTTTTCAATAATCAGTAAGCAACTGCCAGAAAACAGTAGCGACATTTAACTGGTGTTATGGTCGACTTTTTTTGGTATTCATTTTAAAGTTATATTACAAAGAAAGGGAAATCTAAATAGAAATGCCGAAAAAGGTTAAAAGCATACGACTGTCACTTACACCTCATTAAATACACATTGGTTTCGTGTTGGCTTATATTCGACATATTCATATACAGTTAATCACAAAAATAAGTATACAGGTGTAAAAATATATTTTCTTTTTAAAAATAAAATCAAAACTGCTTGTAAAATATATCTTCGCACATAAATTATTTAATTAATTTATATCCTGGAAGATTGTTGGAAATAATGTTAAAATTAAATGAAATATTGTAATAAACTTAAATTTAGTGCCAAAATTACATCATAAACATAAGTAAATATATATATATATATATATGTTAGCTAAAATGCAAAAAGGCGTAACTAACAAAAGCATAATTGTGTAGGAGAAGCAAAAAACAGTTTTGAATGAAAACTATAAACATGTCAAATGAAGATTTTTCTAAGTTCACTTTTAATACACTGACAGATGTATACCTAAATAAAACAAAATTGTTTTTCAATTATTATATTATTATTATAAACCCACTTGTAGTTACGTCTTTTTGTTTTTTGTTAATAGAAGCTCCTTTTTTGACCGCAGTCGTGTAAAACTTTGTCAACACATGTAGTTTATTGACATTCACAAATTGAAAATCTATGATACCACGTTTTTCTCTACATTTACCGTTAAAAAACTAATTTTCGATTTGACGCAGAAAAACCAAAGGTATTTCCTTGTTCCAGGGACTCCAACAAAACAGAATTGTTACATTAGAACCCCTGAATAAATTGTTTTTGTTGTTTTGTAGCACAGTGTAAATATTAAACATTTTCTAATGTAGAAGCTTGGAATAACAGCAATTAAATTGTTTTTTGTTAATTGTGTGCTGCACTTAATAAAGTTTGAGTTAACCAGATTAAAATTTAGTACAAAATTAAACAGCAGTAAACAAAGGCAAATATGGCTCAGTTCCACTAGTGTCAAATAACAATTTACACATCTCTTGATTTTTAATTATCGTATACATTGTGTGAATATAACGGTACTCTGCCGTTAGTTTTTGCGTGTTCTACTCATTTTCTTTATATTGGGAATCATTTGCGACATTATTAGAAAAAATTATGCAAAACACTCAAATTTCCACAAAGACGTTTACGAGGTAGCTCAAAGAAGAGTGCGGTGTTAACGTTTGTCACATAACTATTCAACAGACTATATTTAAAAACAAGTACTCATCAAGAGCAGCACGCAAAAAACTCTTTCTATCTGTAACAAATATAGACAAGACGTTTTCATTCGCCAAAATGAACATTTCACACGCAACTGTATATTGGGACGAAGTTATATTTTGCGATAAAACCAAATCAGTTTTATATGATAACGATGGGCCCACCAGAGTCTGGCAAGCCTTTAAAGCACTAGAAAGGCAGAACATCATTCCAATAAAAAAATATTAAAACTATGAAAAAATATTAAAAGTTAATACTTACATCATAACAATTTTATAAATAATTATTTCTTGTTTTTGTTATATTTTTTATGTTTATTTAAATATGAAATTGAAATTTCTTTTGTCTTTTAGCTCATCATAAAGAAACCAAAAATATAACGTTAATATAAAAACATTTATATTTAATATTAACAAAATTAAAAAAAAAAAACAATTTGTTCATAGTGTAAACTGATTCTTGACATACTGTATTTGAAAAAGGTGAACTAACTAGGATGGTGCAGCGAAGCAAAGAACTATAACATTAGAACAAAAGTCGATTTGAGATATTTCAAAATTTATTGGCAAAAATTCTGCGACCGTTAAAAAGTAATCCAAAGCGAATTAAATTAATAATAATTATTAAGAAATTCGGAACAATGTAAATTTTTCTCATGAAAGTAAATTTTAAATCCATGGGTCTGATGGGCGTGAAATAGTATGGAGAAATACCAAATTGCAAAAATTATTTATATTTATTAACATTTTGAAGATCCCCACCTGTAAAACCTATAAATACAAGTATACACCAGTGTACTTATTTTTGTGATTAACATTGAGTCAGACCATTTCAATCGAACATAACACATTCACATACACTCTTATTTTTAACTGGAAATTCCAATTTTGTTTAATATTTTTTTTATTTTTGAACCGAAATCCCAACATACCATACACTACACGACGAAACCTACAAAAATAACACTGGATTTTTTAATACTACCCCACCACAACCCAAACAAATCTCTATCCAACATTGATTTGATGGTATCACATTAACAACCAAAGTCGTTTTTGTTCAAATAGGTGGCCAAAAGAAGGAGCTACGGCCCGTAGAATCGAACACAATCAGCCCAAAGCATAGATCTAGTCTCTCAACGGCAGCTGCAACAAGTACCGAAACTTCTAACTCTCGCGATGTTGGCGATGCGGCTGTTAATAGCGCAATGCAAAGCATACAGCATCAGCATTCATTGGATTCTACGGCACAGACTTCCACCTCAATCAAACAGATAGAATCGTCACAGTTCGATGTTGAATCGTTGACGGCAGAACCATTGGAGAAGATCTTGGATCACAAGAGCGTCAAGGAAAAGCTCATAGAATTCGAAAAGAAATTGGATAATCTGCGCAAGAAACACGACAAAGAAAAGGTAAAAATTAGTGGCTCCAAGTCGAATCCTTTGGAGAGCAGTAAAAAAAACAAATTCGCTAGCAAATTGGTAAAACGTATTAGCAACAAAAATCTGTAAGTACAAGTCTCTTGTCGCGTAGACTATTCTAATGGACACCTTTATTTCACATACTCAGATCTTGTTTGTCTTCTTCAAACAGTGAGTCCTCAGTAGAAGCACCTCCCTGTGTCAGGGACGTGGGTGAGAGTAATGAGGTGGCCGAGAACAGCGGGGAGTCCGTAACAGGCTTGGATGGCAGCATTGAGGAGAGAATGCTTATGGCTTGTCGACATAACTTCCAGCAGTACCAAGAGCTGCAAAGGATGTATCATGACATCATATACTCTACTGCGGAAAGAGTCCTGCAAGCCTCCCAAGAATCTCAGAACAAACAATTGAAGTCGTCATTAAAAAAGGGCAAGAATGAAATAATGCATCAGTTGGAAGTTGCTCGCAAGAAAGAAGTGAAAAACTTGGCGTTAGTTCACAAAGACAAAGATGAGTTCGTGCGGTAGGTTCTTATAAAGTCCTTAGCGGGAACAATTAGTTAAAATTAATGTTCAAATTTAATACATACAGCATGAAGCGTGAAGTGCACAGCTCTGTGGTTGTACGTGGTGTGGCTGAACGCACTCGTTTGGAGAACGTTTACGAGCAGCGTTCCGAAGAGTTACGCAAGCAACACGATTCAGTACGCAATAGTTTCATGGAACATAAAAATATGGTAAACTGAACTTCATGTAATAAATGTCGTCGGATGGTTAAAACGTTTCGTTGTTTTAGGCCCTGCAAATAATGGAAAAGGAATTTGAATCTCGGACATGTGTAAAATCCAACGGTTTCCTACGAATCTTTCAGAACACCAACACCTGCTCGAGTGGAACATCAACGGGAAACGAAATGAACCTACAAGTCGGATCGACAAATCGCTTGTCTGCAATTTCCCCTGCGCGTTCAAATACGAGTATCTCTAACAGCGCCGCAGGCGGAGTCACTACATAAATGTCATATATGGATATAACACGGATAGTGATCAAGATGGATTTTTACAATTTATTGGTGTATATTCAATAACCATAGCATATAAGAGTCCAGTACAGCGACTCCACGTTAAAAGCAGAGTTGCATTGGAATTTGACCTTGCTCTTGTTTTATACCTAAATCCGACACTTTAGTATTAAGAATGTTGTACGAAATCTCAGTCCCCTTGCGTGCTATTTAATATCCTATAGAAATCAAATTCATTTCAGACTGAACTCTATACATTGAGATTCCAAAAAGATATTTTAAAAATATCCATCCTCCTCGTTAGGTAATCCTCGAAAGTTTTCATATGTACTTATGTTTTTGTATACTACTTACTACGAATATTTTGAGAGAGCAAAGTTGAAATCGTTGCAACATTTTGTTTTAATAGATTTACTAAGTAATCATAGATTGAAAAGTTGTTGTAGGCATACATATAATTATGCAATTTGGTAGTTACTTCATTGAAGTAGAAATAATTAGTGAATTTAGTTGACAAACCATCGGAATTGGTATTAGGAAAAACCATGATAATAGATGGAAAATTATAATCCTAATATATAATATATTCTAAAACAAATTTAGTTACAATTGTTCATTTAAAATAAGATAACCCGCACTGTTATTTACCCTTCAAACTATGTACTATTGGTTGATGATACACAGACCTTAGAATGGTGGATTAACGCGATAAGGAACTTAATTATTGGCCAAGTTGTATCCTTTCAAATCACGAATTTCATAATACAATCTAGTCTGTTTCAATAGTTCATTTATATTATAATATATTAAAACCATAGTATAATTGTGCAAGTTAAAATCAAACATTTCGATTACAACTACTAAAAATTACCACAATTTTCTTTATTCGAATTAAAAACTGTAACATTAAATGGGAATGGGCAAAAGAGAATGAAATCGATGTTTGTAATGTCGAAGTAAGGGTACACCACAAAAATTTGTTAATCACTCTACAATAGGGTTCCTAGAATCGTAGCGTTGAATTAATATTGAAACATATACAATTCAAAACAACTATTAAATACGCCAATATTCTTCTTCCGTCAACTGATTTAAAACATTTTATTATTCCTCTGTTGCTATGGTCCACTTTGTATTGTTTATGGCAATAACTATTGTGACACTAGGTATTATGTCAATAATTAAGGTAACACGTTGACATTAAAGTGTGTAGGTTGTATCCTGATTATAGTACGACTTTGTGGGGCAAATAAGAAAAAGAACAAAAACACATTTGGTTGTACTTTTGAACTTTTAACGAAATATAAATTATTTTTTAGTTTACGATAAAAAACAAGCTAAACGCCTAGTCTATATCAAAAAAAAAATTAAAACCCCGAATCTCATTTTTCCAGATGATGCTTCCTTTTAACTTCTTTGAATGCCTTACCACTTTTGATTATAGAAATATTTCCCAAGGCATCAAGCATTATGTGTATCTTTATTTTAGTATTTTTTCAATCTGAAACAATCTTTACTACGCAAATGTCAAACAAAATTATACTTTTTACTAAAATATTGGTTTGTATATTGGTATCTCGATAGTAAAAAGAAATGCGCTTCTAACACTAAGCAAATAGACATGTTTTATATATCTAGACTCGTTTTTGAAAATAAAAACTTAAAGTTCCTCAATTGTATGTTGTATTATTCGAGGTATAACATATTTATTATCGTAATTATTTGCTTACATAAAAGGCAGCATTATCATCATTCATCTCCAAAACACTTCTACATAGTCATTGCAAACAGAAGGTACATTTTATTTACATAATTACATTAGTAAAATACTGTGAACGGCTGTTGGTACTCACAGGACGAAGACATGTTATTGGGAACCTCTACCAACCTTAAACATTACGTTAATAGTATGTAGTTAAACTGCAACAGTTTAGTGAATTGAACTTACCTTTCCAGTCAAATTGAATTGAAAAAAATTCAAGTGTATTTTAGTTGTTTTTAAGTCATATAAATCTTGCATGTCATGTGTGCTCTAGCTATAATGTTAAAACTAGCAACTCTTTTAAGGCAGTGTGTGAAACTGTTTTTGTGATTAAGATCTATATTTTTGTGTTATTAATTATTAAGGTCTAACTTATTTTATCTGTTTTTTGCTTTTTTGTAACAACTAAATAAATGTTTAAACACAATACATTACAAACTGTGTCTGCTTTATTTCAATTTATTCAGTACAAACCAATGTATATTAAATAACAACGTTACCTAAAATCCGACGGGGCGTACAAAAATATTCAACTTCCCCACTATGGCAAAATGTTGTGTACGTCCGTATTACCCAAATACGTCGAATCCATATCTTCAAGCAAATAATACAAACCGCAAAACAAAATTGAAAATTTATTAAATTAATCCACGTATTTTTAGTTTCCATTCGAAATTTCAAATTTCCAGAATGTTTTGTTTTTGTTTTCAATAAAAGAAAAAAATGAAAAATACGTTCTGTCAAAGTTGAAATTGTTCAACTTGAAATTTTGTACGTTCGACGTATTTCGGTAACATTCATATAAATACATGTGTTCTACTTTTGTGGTGAAAAACGTCGAACGAGCTAGTTGAATTTTAGGTAAGGCTGTAAGGTGTAAGTGACAATTATATGGTTTTAATGTTTTTATACCCTACACAACTATGTTGTCAGGGTATTATAGCTTTGTGCAGCCCCAAAAGTTTGTAACGCCGCGAAATATTGGTCCTAGACCCACCTTTAAGTATACCGATCGTCATATCTCGACTAGCTGAGTCGATCTAGACATGTGTGTCCGTCCGTCCGTCTGTCCATTATAATTTGTAAACACGATACAGGCCACAGTTATGGACCAATTTTCACGAAATTTTGCATGTAGGATGGGTCCTGGCGAATGAAGACCCCTATTGTTTTTGGGAAAGATCGGTTAATATTTAGGGGATGAAATGGACCAAATACTAAATTTTTGTCGGTTTTTCTGGTCGCTCCAGAGGCCGCAATAATGGCCCGAACATCGTGAAATTTTGCATGGAGAAGGGGATCGGGCCAAAGAATAATCATGCCTGTTTTGATAAAGATCGGACAATATTTAGCGGGTCAAATGGACCCTGACTTTTGTGTGAAAAATGACAAAATTTGTATTCTATAGCGTATATATTTACTCCTGAAGGACATAGACCCTAGAAGTTGATATTTTATCATAGAGGAGTGGTTGACCTTTAAATTAATACCAATTATGTTGTGGTATGTTCCCGGATGTGGGAGTTACACCTAAATATTTACAGGTATCTCCGTATTCGTATATTATTTAGTAACCCATTATCACTCTAGAGAGCGGAACTATAGCTTTGAAATGTTCCATGAGGTTCCAGTTATGGTCAAGGACAACGCCTATAATTTTCGGTGAAGATCAGATAATAATTTTGGAGTGAAGTGGACCGAAAACTTGTTTTTGTGTTATTTTCGAGTCGATCTATAGACCACAAATGAAAGCCGAACATCACAATACAACCCACGGTGAAAGAAAATCTGGGGGGTTACTCTGTATTGCGTTGCGAAAGCCAGTGCGATGCGAAAGCTAAATGCGTTAAGAGTGCAATTTGGTACTCTGTATCGCTCACGCAAACGCATTCGCAAAATAAATCCAAAATAGGGCAACACTGGCACCACAAAGTAAACAATAACGAAAAATGACAAAAGGAAACGTCAAAAAATTGTAAATAAAAACATATTTTTATGTGGTACGAGTGTTTTTTTTTTAACATTAAACATTTAAAAACATATTTTTATGTGGTACGAGTGGTTTTTTTAAACAAAAATGACGAACCAACTAAAAAAAAGAATTTTAAGAGAAAATAGAAGTACGAATAATGTGTCAAACGTTTTCAAATATTTAATTTTTATAAATTTGTACAAAATGTTCGTCTCAATAAAGCTGCGTTTATGTTTTTAATAAACGCTATTAAAAATGACCTCGTCGTTCCAAATAGATCCACAGCAATTCCAAATCCAATAAAAGTGGACGTTGAAATTGCTTGGACAAGGTGGTTATCAACACCAACCTGTAAATATGCACACATAGTTTCACATTTTATATATAAAATATAAAACATTACTTTTTCCCAACCAGCGACATCTCTTACAGGAGGTCCATCTGAATTAAGGTCATCATCCAGTTTTCTCTACAATTTTTTGGCGCGTCGTTTCGCATTTGAACTCTACAACTGGCCCCTTGCCAAATCGCTGTGTTGCACCATAAAATCTACTAAAGTTTGGAACTGACGGTGCTGAGTCGTCAACTGTAACTTTTTTTGGCTTTCACCCAAAATAATTATCAATTTAGATGTAAATAAAAACTTTAATTGTTCTTATTTACATGTTTCGCTTCATTTGCTTTTGTTAACGCAAGATATTTGCGTTTAACGAACGAGTTTGACATGCGTTTTCGTATTACAGATTGCGGTGATGCCACATTTGCGTAAAGTAGATGCGAAAGGAGATACGAAAACGAATTAGAGAGTACCAATTACGCGATGCGATACAATTTTTCTTACGCATCGCAATACAGAGTAACCCCCCTGGACAATAGCTGTACTGAATACTCGTAATATTCGGAAAATATGTCAGTGTGAGGAAGAGTTGCTGTTTATCTCTAATCGGGCAAGAGGGTGCAAATATCACTAAATATTGCCCAGGCTCGGAATAAAAATCCGCAGAAAATTTGAGTTCCGTGGTAGTTGTGTAGGGTATCGTATGGTCGGCCCCGTCCGACTATACTGCTCCGCTCACTGGTTTCTTTTTTGTTTGTGAAGCTAATTGTCAAACACATTGACATTTTGTTTTAAATTTGTAACTTTATAAAAGGGATCATAGCTAACCAAAGCGAATGTTTGCCAACCACATATATTTCTTTAGATTTAGGAAACAATATGTAGAAGTAATTTTGATTGTATAGAAATTCAGTTGCATATCTTGTATTGGAATCTGTAGGTGATGAAGAGATCCGGTTAACCACCTTAATTTTATATTTAGATGGGCAGCTTCCAAGTGAAGTTATTTGAAAGGGCAGCCGATTTTCGGGTAGTATGGACATTCTTGAACAATACGTATTGCTGTTATCAGGAAATCGGTGGTTTGAATAAAAATAATAAGTTTCCGATCAGGATGGACATATTTAAGGTTATTTATTTTCAATTTTCGAAGTATAATTTTTCTTTAATTGAACAACTTTTGTCAAAGTAAAAGTTTTTGCTAAGAAATGAAATCATCAACTATAAGTTATAAGAGCATCAGAGTAAGTAGAGCATCAAGTTTAGAAGAAAACGACGACATAAATTTGGATCAAAAACGACATATATTACAAGGAAACAGTAAGAAGGAGAAACTTTGAAAATACAACCAACGAAAAATGTGATAGAAAACAAGCTATTTCTGGTAATGTGTGTGATACAAAACTATAAAAATAATCTAAATGGGCTTGTATTGACTAAAATGTGATAGAAAAAAGCTATTTCTGGTAGTGTGTGTGATACAAAACTATAAAAAAAATTATCTAATGCTAATTTTTTTATATGATACTAGTACTAGTTTTTATAATTAAGTATCAGAGGACAATAACCAGCCATAAAGTGTTTATATCTGTTGAATAATAACTGAGATATAGAGCTCGAAAAAAGTGCCGAATGTGCCCAGGTCTCCCTTACATTAAAGAAATTTATATTAAATGCGTTTTTAAAAGGAAATCGATCTGCAATAATCATAGACAATGGGTTAAGCTTTTTATTTATTTTTATTGGGATCTAATTTAGGTGTTCCCTAACTCCTTTGCAAATGTTTCTCGCTCTAGATAACGTGGGATAATCATGGCGACTCATAGAAGTTAGCAACCGCCTTGGTTTTCCTTTGGCATACGGCGACTAAAGAGAAAATTTGGGTTTCCATACATTTTGTATTGACATTTTATGTTTAATGACTAAAGACGTAAATAAAACAAATTTGCTAAAAAGTAAAAACGTTATTTTAATATCTTAATTGAGTACAAGGTACAATAAAATATAATGAGTAATATGAAAGGTAAAAAAAATGTCTATATGACTTTACAATTGTTAAGTTTAAAAGAACTCTAGTAGAAGTAAGTCCTTCATGGCTCTGTTGATTATCGTTGTTTGAGATATGTAAAATAAATTGTTCTATTATATGATACTTAATACTAATTTGTGAAAACTTTCCATTCCAAAGGATGCAATAAGTCTCCACATGTAATAAAGGCACTCTGGATGTCCACGTAATGAATGAAAACAATAAAAGCAACATTAACGAGAGTTTACAGCATTTGCACGAAAATCATGGTTATCATGGAGCCCATAGCCAACCCACAACTTAAGGATGCAGCCATTATGGATGAAGCCATTTCTTTTTCATGCTGCATAACGCACCTAGAAATTACCAGACAAAACAATTAAACTGTGTCCATTTAAGTGGTATTAACATTATGATCATACCTTGGTACCATATTCAACAGAATGTTGGTAATATATCCATTGGATAAAGCGAATGTTATCATCATACAAATGAAGGCCAGATCTGATGAAATTAGGGTCGGAAGGAAAATGTGTTGTGTCGAATTTGAGCACAAAAACAATGGCACATAAATTGTTCTTAAGATGACCAGAAGTAAAACAGTATGTACATTTTTCCGGGGCTAAAATAAAACTTCATATTAATCGATCAGTGATATGGAATCTCAAAATGTAATCACTTACCCATTCCCATATTCCAGATATAATTCGTCCGAAATAGTCCCCCGAGTTGAAAAACAAGTAATTAACTACGGGCATATAGTAAATATCTAAAACGACAATTAATCAGATATGGACATTTTGAATTACTGGATTTTGGTACAAACCATTCCAAGCGTGTCCTTGTCCATAGTTTTCCGATTGCATAAGTATTGTAACAGAAGGATATACTGATAGTGTGGTGGCATAAAGTAATAGAATTGTGACAGCATGAACGTAAATTTTACCCAACACTTCTCGCACATTTGGCTCAAGAGCTACGCCCCGGTCGACCATTCGGCTTTGAGTCGGGTCATCATAGACAATTTTAAACTTGTCTCCACCTTCAACATAGTATTTGAAAAAGTCTTTCCTTTCCACTACAGCATAGCAGATAATGTTGATCAATATTAAGGCGATGCCAATGGAGAAAAACACAAACGCCGTTGCATTTGGAGCAGCCCCAAAAGTCAACACCATGAGGAAAGTTAAAGCTGTGAAAATGCCACCAAGAGCCTGCCCGCTCACGACCGCCGTCATATATTCGGATGGAAATAGACCAGCAATGCCAAATAAGCCACCACTCATTGTAGCGGAAGATACTGAAACACAAAGCGCATACAATTTAGTACATATATTAATTTTAAGTTCAGCTTATACGATAGCCGGTACTTACTATTTATGATGACGACACACAACAAAGTTATTAAAAAGAATTGTTCCTGCCATTTGTCCGTATTGACTTCCACAAATGCCGTAGTTATTATAAATATGATCAGTATTATACAGAGAGTGCCAAGCATACGTAAACGCAATGACACTTTTTGACCGTAAATGGCATTGAGTATTAAAAAAGTGGTACCAGATATGGATGCAGTCAAGGTTAGATCGCACGAAAAACTCTTTTGCATTGGTGTCAACTCCTCGCTTATGGGATTTGTGCCGTTGAATGTAGCATTGCGAAATTTATACATCCAGTACTATAGTTCATTTTCAAGAGTGTAACATTTAAATTAAAGAACATTGGAATTTTATTAAATTGTTAATATAATAAAAACATCATTATAATCATAATTTAACCAATTATGACCATTGAATATTAAATTATGACCATGATATGAAATTTTCTTTGAAGTTGCTATTTTAATAGAGTTAGAAGTTTAAACATAGGTTAACTTTTTTTAATATTTAACCTTTTTTTAAGGGATTGTAAACATTTTCAATTCATTTATTACTATTTTTCTTTAGTTGTTGAACGGAATGGAAATCTAGGCCTTTATAGTTGAATTTCGTCTCATGACGCACAGTGTCACGACCGTGGACAAAAATGGTCAAAACAAAGTATTGATGAGAATTGATAAAAAAAACACTCCAAATAAAATAAATATGAAATCAGACATTGATGTTCAAAACTAGGTTTCGTTATTGTTTGTATATACATATATGTATATATATATGGGCAATATTGCCAATTTTTTAATATTCAATTTTCAAAAAATCAGCTTTTTTGTTTTTGTGGCACATCAATGATTTTTGGTACACATATAGAGAAAAATGTTCTGACTCCGAAACCGTTCGCGATCAAATTTTTGGTTTATGCGCGTGTACAGATTCCCACAAGGACGCAGGATCTGTTGTGAAGTCTAAATTCAGACGAATTTAGAGCCTTAGGATTAGAGTTGCCGGCAAAAGCAACAACTACAACACATACGAAATATACAAACACCACAAGTATACGTGTAATACTCACGTGATGTTTAGCACAAATAAAAAGATGAATAACTTTAATTATAATAAATATTGTACTGTCAGGCGACAGGTTTATTATGGGTTTAATTTGGGTAAATATAAAGTTGACGATCAAGGCGATCCTTTAGGTTTTACTTCTTGTAGTAAGTGTGTTTGGAGATGGGAGTTTCTCGATTTCGGTTCCCTTTTGAGATGGGAGGACACCGATGACTTACAAGTCCATATCGATGAGGTCTTCATCGGTGTCCATTGGTGTGGTACCCACGTACTGCTTGATGGCCGTGCGGCCGTCAACATCCTCCGCCCCTTGCACTGGTGCAACCTTCTGGCGATCCCAGGACCTTTATATGCTCCGAAATTTCTTGTAGGATCTTCTTTGTTGTCTCTTTGACTGTTAGCGAAAACTTAGAGGACCGCTTCGGGATTTTCCTTCCTTTAGGATAACGCGCTGCTGCCCGAGCTTGGGTGCTTTTAACTGTCTGACGTTGGTGTGTGTTGACCCGAAATTCGTTTATGCAGTATTTGTGTATCCGCACAGCATACTTCCTGCACTTCTGCTCCGTTCTGCAGGTTATAATCTTATGCTGCCTATAGCATACCAGACATTGCTCATGATCTATGTTTATGTTCTGGAAATAAATAAATAGAACAAAACACAGAAAATCTTGACCACACGACAAGTGGTCCGTTATTAAATAATGATTTTTCTTCCCATAACACATAAACGACACAGTGGATGAGACTTTAATCATCCAATTAACTCTTTTTCGCCATATATCTTGCAGAAATATCATGGCTCTTACGATTGGTTTTGGTGACAGACTGGCTTTATCGTATAATTTAGCCACGTTCAACCGAACTTTTCGTTTCGTTATTTCTCTTGCTATAGAATATTGAATCGTTGTATACGAAAAATTGTGTATTAGTACATTCCATGGAATGACCAGAGTGTTGATAGCGCTACTATCATCGATTTTAATCAATTTCTCGTTTAGTAATTCTTGAAGAAATGTATCTGGGGGATTCGTAATTTTTTTTAATAGAAATCCGGCTGATTTCAACGTTTTTATTATTTCATGATGTGCTTGTAGTGCAGAGTCGATTGTATGACCGCCTGCTAATATGTCGTCGACATATATTTCCTTTTTAAGTATGTTTGTAGCTAGCGGCCGCTCAATTTGCCATTCTGTGGCCTGCTGCAATAACGTTCTTATTGCCAGGCATGGCGCACAGTTAATACCAAATGTGTTTATTTCGTAATCTTCGATTTGTGCGGTTTCATTTTGTATATACAATATTCTCTGATACGGTATATCAGACTCGTGTACAAATATTTGACGGTACATCTTCTCAATGTCACCATTAAATACATATTTATATAACCGCCAATTTAGAATTACAGACGTTAAATCGTTTTGTAACGTTGGGCCTGTATATAGAACATCATTCAATGAGAATGAACTATTTGTTTTGCAAGACCCATTAAACACACGTGATGAAAATTCATTTAAAACGTCTCTGTACGTGTTTACCAGCATTTTGTCTTTATTTAAGCTATTTATATATTGGGGTAAAGATTTGAAACGAGGTGATTCTAATAAAATAGATTGTTGATATTCTTTTTTAAATGGATTTTTTACACCAAATCTACCGCCCGGTCGACGGCACGTCTTTTTGTAAGAGTCTTCGCAGTACTCATTTAATACGGTCGGAATAGGAGTCCGTTCGACTTCCTCATGTTCCCCGAATTTTCGTGATAATGCTTCTATGTCTTCTTCACCTTTCGAAGATTCTTTGACTGTGCCAAATGCTATACTTTCGTTTGCTATTGGTCCGTATATATACCAACCGTAAATTGAATTCTGTGCTATCATATTACCTAGAATATTTTTCTTCATGCCGTTTAGCATTATTGTTGGAAGGATATCGCTTCCAATCAACATATCTACATGCGCTGATACCGCAAAACCAGGATCGGCTAGTTTTAAATCTTTAACTTCACTACAGTACGAGTTTGGAAGAGACCTAGTTGGAAGTAGACTAATAAGATTTCGTAGCACTATTACTTCGGATACTAGATTAAAAGAAGTGTCATCTGTACATAGTGTAATGCAACAAGATTGGTTTGCATTGGTGACTATTGTGTCACTTAAACCACTAATTTGGAAATCTTCGTTTCTGGTCGTAATACCTAAGCGATTAACCACTTTATCTGTCACAAATGACCTTTAGACGCCGAATCTAACAACGCCCGTAATGTGAACCTTTGTCCGGAGTGCATAATTTGTACCAAGGCCGTCGGTAACATAACGTCACCGTGACTAATTGTAGCTAGTGTCTGAACGTTTGTACCAGACACTGCCCTTGACGAGCATGGCAATTCATTGTGTGATTCGTCGGTGGTGAAATGTGTTTCGGTTCGGGCATGACCATAATTGTTTTCACGCGCTACGTTATTAGCGCTCGATTGTTGTTGTGAATAGTTCGTTATATGCAACTTAGTATGATGTTTTTTCTTACATTGCATACATCTGTGCATACTGACGCATTCTTGGCTCGTGTGTCCACTCGCAAGACAATTGTTGCATAAACGTTTTTTTTTTTTGCAACTTCGATTCGCTGATTAGCTGACATGTTGTTAAATCTGGGACAGTTTCGCAGTATATGATTTTTTGCGCATAGAATACATCTATTTGAATTTGTGTTTGTATTATATTGAGCTCCGAAGTCGTATCGTAAAGATTGTGGAGCGTTTTGTGTTTTTATACGACCAATTCGTTCTAACACTTGATGTCTGTTAATTAGAAATTCTTCCATTTGAGACCACCTTGGCAAGTCAGCATGTGACTCAAGTGACTGCTCCCATAACGTCAAAGTTTCTATTGGAAGTTTTGTCGAGCAAAGGTATATTAAAATTGGATCCCACTCGCCCACACTTATGTCGTGTGCTTCCAAAATTGCGAGACAATCACTGATTGTTAACTGGATCCTTTTTATGTCTTCGTTGTTTTCGTTTTTTGCGGGAGCTATTTCGAATAAAATTCGTAATTGGTTGTCAACCAAAACTCGCTTGTTTTCGTAGCGTTTCTTTAGTGCGTCCCATGCTAAAGAAAAGTTTAGATCTGACAATGAGAATCTGTCTACGATCCTGCCAGCTTCACCTTTAGTTTTATTTTTTAGGTGATATAATTTTTGTGCTGGTGTCAGTCTGGGGTGATTGCCATATATGGCCATAAACATGTCCCTAAAAGTTGGCCATTCTTCATAGCTTCCGTGGAAGTCTTTTGTATCACATGGAGGAACTTTAATACACACCTCTGACATGTCAAATGTGGTAGTTGGGGGATACATGGCCGAACTATGAAAAAGTGAAGGATTTGTTTGGTCTTCACGTCCTGAACTGGTGGACTTTTGAAGAGACCTCTTTTTCACAACTTCCATTAAGTTCGATTTTGTTAATTGGTATTGATCCCGTGCGGATTCAAACTCCAATTTCGCAACATTTTTAAAATCATCATCGATTGCCTTGTCATCGGCAAGATAGACGTTTTCATAGGCAGTACGTACATTATGCCAGTCTTCATCTAACGATTCTAATTTTGTTTCTATCAGCGAATCTGACAGATCGTTTTCGGACATATCTAACATTTTAGCACATGCTCCCATTAAGTTTATATATATATATTTATGGACTTTTATTATTTATTGTAATATTATTTGGGTCTATTTTGCCTTCGGTTAACTTTCTGCTTTATTATAAAAATAGAGAGAAGTTAGAAAAATTTAAAAAAAATATTAGGCTTTAATAGGGCTTTGCTCAACAAATATTTATTTTTTAAATTTTGAGAGCAATTTTATTATTATTTTATTATATTATTATTAGGTATTATTTGTATTATGTTTATTATTGATACTTTTATTTTATTGCTTATATTTTTATTTTATTTTTATTTGTATTTATTATAGAAATGGAATGCAATATAATGTAATGCAATTTCCACTAACGTTCGTTACGTTGAATTACGTTTGTTACGTTTAGTAACGTTTGTTGCGTTTTGGTTGTTTACGTATATTACGTGTTCACTAATTGGACTATCGCCTTAATGTGAACAAGAGTACTCGGTATCGGTTACTCTTTAAACGTATGTCACTATTCCAACAAAACAAAACAATATGTCTGTCTGTGAATATTGTAAACAATAAAATTTTTTAATAAAATAAAGAGTGGTGAAATATATA